GGCCCTTTTTACTGAAGCCGCACCCCCTCACCCTCACCCCTCCCTCTCCCCTCCTCCACCGTCAGAAGGGGGGGGAGGGGGGAGATAAGAAGATAAACATGAAGGGAGGGGAAGAAGAGAGTGAGGGCGAGAGAGAGAAAGAGACGGAGAGAGATAAAGGGGAGAGGGAGAAAGTGAGGGCGAGAGAGAAGGATGAAAGGAATGGGAAAAGGAAGGACAAGGAGAGGCAGAAGGAAAGGGAGAGGCAGAGGGGAGAGATAAAGAGAGGGAAGGGGCAGAGAGGGAAGAGGATTTGGAAGGGACAGAAAGAGACAGGAAGTAATCAGGGAGAAGAAAATGACGTACAAGGAAGAGAGAAAAAAATAACTAGAGCAAGAGTTAAAACGCAAATATGAGGAAGGGAGAAGGGAGGAGCAATATCTTGTAAAAAAGGGGATACCTAAAAACGGGGAAGGGTGGGGGGGAGGGGGGACAAGGGAACTGAAGCGAGAAAGACGGAAAAAGGAGAAGGGGAGGGGGGAGGGAAGGGGAAAGGGAGGGAGTGAGGGGTAGGGGGAAGGGAGGGAATGAAGGGGTAGGGGGAAAGGGAAGGAGTGAGGGGTAGGGGGAAGGGGAGGATGGGGGTAAGGGGAAGGAGAGGGATGAGGGTGGAAGGAGAGGGAGGAGAAAGGGGAGGGACTGGGGGTAAAAAAGGTGAAAAAAGTGGGAGGGAGGGAAGAGGAAGCAAGACAGTGGATGAGGAAGTACGACGGAGCACGAGCGAGAGGGAAAGAGCAGGAGGAAGCGACAGAAACAAGGAGGAAGGAATAACAAAGGGGGGGGGGATGAAGAGCAACAGGAGTGAGAGGTAGGGTGAAAGAGTAAGAGGGAGAAGGGAAAATGACGGAGAGGAAGGACGAACGAGTGAGAGGAAAGAGGGGGAAGGAGAGAGGGCAAAGTGAGAGGAGAGAGGAGAACGAGTGACAGGATGGAGAGAGGAGATAGGGAGAGAGGGAGAGCAGACAGAGAGAGCGAGAGAGAGGGAGGAAAGGGAGGCAAGGGGAACGGGAGCCGGCCGGAGGAGGAGGAGGAGTAGGAGGGAGGGAGGGGGAGGAGGCGGCGGCGCTCGTTGAGCTCCGCGGGAGGTGCCAGGCAGAGGGCAGGGAGGTGAGAGGCAGAGTACGGGACCGCCGCCATGGCTGCCCGCGCGCGCTGCTCACTTATCGCTCTTTTATCCACACTTTCGGAGGGCCAGGGCAGGGCGGTCCCGGGGCGCCGCCGGGGGCTCCCCGCGCCCTCGGACACTGCTCGGGCGGGGAGATGGGGGGGGGTTGGAGGGGAGGAAAAGAGGAGAGAGAGAGGCAAGGGAGAAGGGAGAAGAGAACAGCAAAGAGGCAAGGAAGGGGAGAAGGGGTAGCAGAGGAGGAAAGAGGAAGGGGAAGGGAGAGGGAAGAAGGGAGAGGGAAGAGGGGAAAGGGAGGGGAGGGAAGGGGAGAGGAGAGGGAAAGGGGGAGCTCGATAAAGCGCGTCGGAGCGGCGAATTGGCAGTCGCGGTTGACGCCCTCTCTACGTGCCAGCTACCCGGGGGGAGGGGGGGGGAGGAGAGGGGGGGGGGAGGACGAGGAGAAAGGCAAAGACGAAGGAAGACGGGGAAGAAACGACGGACGAGGAGGAAGAGGAGGAGGAGGGATAGAGACAAGACAAGAGAAGAGAAGAGGAGGAGGAAGAGAAATGAACAGGACATCACGAAGAAAAAAAACAAAAAAAAACAATAATATATCCTGTCGAAATCTAGGCAATTAACGGTCAATACGTCTCAATGAACGTCGTGACCCAAGGAAGGACGCGACCCTCCCCCTCCCCCCCCCACACCCCCAACCCCCACCCACCCCACGAGGGGAAAACACCTGCTCTTCATATAACCCCCTTAATGCCCCTCTCCCCTCCCCCCCATGTCATGCATTGGGGGGAGGGAGGGGAGGGAGGGAGAGAGAGAGGAAAAAACAACAGAAGAGGAGAAAAAAAGATGAGGAATGAGATGGAGGAAGAAGAGGAAGAGGAAGAGGAAAAACAATAAAATAAGAGAAAAAAGTTGAGGAAAGCGATGGAGAAGAGGAAGAGGAGAAGAAGAGAAAACGATTAATAAGAACAATAACAAAAAGAGAAGAACAAGAAGACAAGAAGGCGCACGCGACGCCGCCCCACGACGCCCGCAGAGCGACGCGGAAGGTGCGGGCGCCGCCGATCAGCCGCACATCCGGCCGCGCGGAAGCGATGGGCTCCGGCGGCCCTGGAGCGCCGCTCGCCTTCTCACGCCCCGGCGCTGGGCACGTGCGGGGGGCGGGGGAGGGGGGGAGGGGGGGTCGAAGGGGTCGCGGGCGGGCGGGCGGGCGGGCGGCTTCTGGGGTGGTCGGACGGTGGGTGGGAGAGGGGAGGGGGCAATGAAGGAGGGAGGGAGGGAGGGAGGAATGAAGGAGGAAGGAAAGTAGAGTAATGAAGAAAGAAGAAAGAGGAGAGAGGAGGGAGGGAGGGGGAAAGAGGGAGGAGGGAGGGAGGGGAGGGAGGGAAGGAGGAAGGAAGTAGAGTAATGAAGGAAAGAGGAAAGAGAGAGAGAAAGGAAGAGAGAAGAGAAGAGAGAGGAGCGAGCTCGGGGAAAGCGAGATGGGCGGCCGAGAGGAAGCCGGTGGGCGGAAGGAAGGAAGGAAAGACTCCCAGAGCAGCTGAATGGGGCGAAGAGACCGCCGTTGGAGATCAACGCCGGGTTTCTCACTCACTCACTCACTCACTCGAAGGAAGAAGTAAGAAAGAAGAATGGAAGGAGAACGAGAAAGAGAAAAAATAGAAGAGAAGGAGAGAGAGAGACCTAAAGAGAAATTAAAAAAAAAGAAAAGAAAGAGAAAGAGAAAACTAAAAAAAAAAAAAAAAAGAGAAAGAGAATAAGAAACAAAGATAAGAGAGAGAGAGAGAGAGAAAAGATGAAAAACCACGAGACCAACCCCATCAGCTGGATGCAAATGAGCATTTAAAGGAACGGGCTCCCCCCCCCCTCGCGACGCTGACACTCGACACCGCCAAGGACCACGGCCTACGGGTTGCATTGGGAGGGGGGGAGGGGGGAAGGGGGAAGGGGGGGAGGGGAGGGGATTTGGAGGGAGAGGGTGGGTATTGGGGAGAGGAGTGGGTATTGAGGGAGAAGGGTGGGTATTGGGGAGGGGGGGTTTTGGGGGTGAGGGAGAGGGTGGGTATTGGGGGAGAGGGGTGGGTATTGGGGGGGTAAGGAGAGTGCGTTAGGGGGAGGGGAGGGCATACTAGGTAGAGATGAAGGGCATTGGGGGGAGAAGGGTAGGCATACAGGGGTACAGAAAAGAGGTGAGAGGTACGGAGAGAGAGAAGACGGGAAAAGGAAGGGGAAAAGGGTAGTAAAAAGGACGAGTAGGAAAGTTGAAAGGACACAGGGTAAGGAGAAAGGATAAGGTAATAGAATGACCGAAGACAAGCATAAATCAAAAACAGTAGAACAGAAAAAAAGAAAAGCCTACCCACAAACCTACCCATCCAACCCATCCCACCCACCCCCCAAAAAAAAATACACTCACCCATCTAATCTCTATCTCCCCACTCCATTCGGACTCCCAAGGTATAAACACCGCATCCCGTGGGAACAGGGTGCACTCTCTCTCTCTCCCTGGGTCCGGGGCGCTCGTGCACTCTTTGTTCTCTCCTCCTCCTCCCGCGTCCACACAGCCTGTACAAGGTCGCGCACGCTGCCTAGCAAGGTAACACACTCACTTTCCAACCGGTATCAAAGGGAGGAGGGAGAGGGAGAGGAGGAGAGAGGGAGAAGGGAGGGAGAGGGGAGAGGGAGGAGGGAGGGAGGGAGAGGAGAGGGAGAGGGAGGAGGGAGAGGGAGGAGGGAGGGAGAGGGAGAGGAAGGGGAGGGGGAGAGGTAGGAAGAGGGAGAAGGAGGTGGAAGAGGAAGGAGGAGAATGAAAGAGAGAGAGAAAGAAGAGAGAGAAGGCAGAACAGGGACACAGGGAGGATGACGGAGGCGAAGGAGAGTGGAGTGAAAGGGAAAGGGAATCTGGCGAGAAGTTCCCAATATACCATTAACCCATAAAAAAAAAAAAAAAAAAACTTGTTAAAAAATCACCTGCATGAGAACCTGACTTCCTTTTGTCTTGGCGCTGTGTGGGCCTGCTGGACTCCCCCCCTCCCCCCCTCCCCCCCCTCCTCTCCACACCCCCTCCTTCCGTTCTTACCTCTTCCTTATTCCTCCCTCCTCCTCCTGCACCCAATCCTCTCCTCTCCATCTATCTATCCTCCTTCCTTCCTTCCTATCTTCCTTTCCTTCCCTTCCATCCCCCATCCCATCCCACCTACCCACCATCCCAACCCATCCATCCATCCCATCCATCCATCCCCCCATCCACCCCTCCCTCCTCCCCTCCCCTCCTCCCGCATCTCGCCGACCTTTCAAAATTTCCCGGAATAGACGTCAGCAAAGAGCGACATGTTGAACTTTCGTCCCCCGAGCGTCAGCATTTCAGGTCGCCCCCCCCCTTCTCCCCCACCCCATGAAGGATGGTAGGAACGGGAACCTGGAATACCGCTGGCCATGGTAGAGATGGCTGACGAGTGGCTGACGAATGACTGACGAAAAAGGTTGATGAATGGTAAAACGCGTGGTAGATGAGTGGAAGACTGGTTACAGACGAGTGGTTGACGAAAGGTTGATAAATGGTAGACGAGTAATAAACGAGTGATAGAGTAGTTGAGAGATAAATGAGTGGTTGACGAAAGGTTGACGAATGGTAGACGAGTAACAGCCCAGTGATAGAGGAGTAGTTGACGAATGGTGGACAAGTAACAGCCCAGTGGTTCATGAACGGTAGACGAGTGACAGACGAATGCTAGTACAACCGCTGTGAAACCCCGAGCGATAAACCGACACCCTCCTGCATTCACGATGACGCAATGAATGGAGCGAGTGACACAACGCGAGAAAACACGTCAAAACTCACCTTAAGTCTAGGCGGGGATTACCCTGGCAGTTCTCATGCCATCATTACATCCTGGAAAGAGAGGAGAAAAAATAACGTTAGTAATGATCATTTTCCCTGCAACGTTTAGATCACTTATCGTATAACAGTAAATATATTCTAAATCTAATATAGGTAAACATAACTGCCCTGTCACATCCACACTGTTTAGAGGGTAATAATATGCAAGAGAATAGCATCTCTCTTGCATTAATGTCAGACAAGAAGACGAGGAATGGAAATCCTCTGGCTATTAATAAAACATCATGTCACGATGGACGTAAAACCAGTAACGTGTACACAAAGATGACAAGGAATCATGTCATGACATAGCAAATGAATATAAAACTTTACCCTTCTCACCCCCCCAAAAAAATATGTTAATATGTACAGGTAAACACAAAACACAACCGCAAAACAACAGTTATATATCAAACAAGCACCATATATTATAGTCCAACAGATTTATTGATAGTTGGGCACCAGACGACCGTTCATTACGCAATAACGACCATCCTGATATAGAGCAACAAGTGGCACGGTCTACAGATCGAGAACCGTATATAAAAATATAAAAAATAATCCAGATTTACGTTTTACTACGATATTCCATTTCCTATAATTGTCATAGTCATGGTATTTGGTGTTGATATATTTACAATAGTCACGCACGTATATACTGTGTCATTTTTCCGTGTATTCTGAACGTCGACTCCAGTAATGCAACGCTGGCGCATTCGGTGAATTGGCTTCGAACACTGTGCATTCGAGCGTACAATTTTGCTTGCCTGTTTGGCCTGCCAGCCTGCTTTACCAGTAGACCCTCTCCTTGCGTCACCGCGCTCCCTCCCCTCCTCCCCCTCCTCTCCCTCTCTCCATCACCTTCCCCCTTCCCCTCCCCCCCCCCCTCACCCGTGAGAGCCAAGCGCGGTGCCGCCGTAGAGACAGACAGGTCCCGTCGCCGCCGCCCTTCCCTCCCGTGTGTACTGATGCAAGCCAACTCGTCCACTCGGGGCCGCATGCCAACATCCGACCGACCGACCAACCGACCGACCGACCGCAGCCGACGCAATGCTCGACGAGAACCCGCACTTTGTGTCGCTTGTGATTTTTCACGCTGTCGCTCACGGCCCCGCGGCCTCCCCGGGCCTCCGAGCCTTCGCCTCTTCAGGTCGGATCGATGGCCCTCGAGGAGTCCCCTGCGAGCCCCACGGCGCCCCCGGCTGCGGTCCCTCTTGGCCCTCCAACAGCCCATAATTACCTCCCCTGCCAGCCCCTACTAGCCTCTTAAGCTACCTCCCAGACTATCCCGACAACGAAAAAATAGCAAACGTGTCACGTGTCCTCTCACTACCCTAAAAACCTCGCCCCGGCCAACACCCCCCCCCCCTTCGGCGAATTCGCAGCTCACTCGAAGCTCCCTCTCACGCCCCCCTTCTGCTGTCGTCACCCACGTGCTGGCTAGCGAGGGTGGGGGAGGGGGAGACGCATCCACTTTCCCGCAACAAAGAAACGCGGCCTTAAAAGAAGGGCGTTGCGCTGCATATACACTCGCGAATTTCGTAGTTCGCCTGTACCTGCTCGGGGCCGCTGTTCGCGAATCCCTCTCATTCTCCTCCGAATGCAGACACAGACGAATAAAAGACGCATCGCACTCGTAACAGACCGGTAGAGAAATCGTCAGATATCCAAAATCACAAAAAGAGCATAGAAGGAAAAGATACAAAACAATAAAGAAAAAGGGAATACTTTTTAGACAAAAAAAGGAAGAACATTTACGAAACGCGGTCACTGACCCTCCCCCTCTCCCCTCCCCCTCCTCCTCCTCCTCCTCCTCCTCCTCCTCCTCCTCCTCCTCCTCTCCTCCTCCTCCTCCTCTCCTCCTCAAGACAAAACACGGTGATTCGCCAACAGGGAGACCCATGACAGGCGCAGGTGGATGGGGCAGAGTCATGAAGGTTCCCAGAAGAGAGGGCAAGGGAGATCTGAAGGGAGGGGATGGAAGTCGGAAAAAAATGGGGGGAAGGGGGGAAAGGAGCAGAGATGGGAGATAGTGTGGACAATGTGGGAAGTAGGGGAAGGGGGGTAGGGAGAAGGGAGCATAAGGGTGGTGTGGGAAGGGAGAAAGGGAAGCGGGGTGGAAGGGAAAACAACAGAAGCAACGAGGGAAAGAAGCAGGGGGCAGGCTGAGAAGGTAATGGGCTCAGCCTGGGACGGGAAACGGAAGCAGGGGAAGCGGGCGAGAAGTGCCAGCGAGCGAGTGCCTGACCTCCAGTGCCTCCGCGATTAAATCTCGGCCTAAGGGAGCGGAATGGTCACGTGATCTGTGCGCCGGGAGGTCGAGACACGAACCGAGGGTGTGGTTCGGTTTCGCGGAAGACGTCTTGGGCGTGATAAAACACCTTTCGGGCGGGCGGCGGTGTAGTGTGGCGTTGGAAGTGGACGGGGGAGGGAGGGCGGGGGGGGCGGGCGTCGGGTGTGCGCGTGAGGAGAAAGTCGCGGAGGTGTGGCGGTGTCAGTGGCGGAGGAGGCTCGGCGTCTTCCACGAGTCCCCCTCAGCCTCTCCGCTCGCCCGCCCCGCCACGCCCACACACTGGACATACGCACGATCTCGCCCGCCGCCATCCCGCACGCGGCGCCTTCTCTCTACCTGGTCATGTGGAAAGGCTCCGTGCCACTCCCCGCGGCACCCCCGCGCCAGGGAAACGGGCGGCGCGACACGACTTTCCTTCCCGGCGTTGCGCAGCCGCCCTTCCCGCCCGACTTGCGTCTGCATCCCGACGCGACGACCCGACAGCTGCACCGAACAGCAGGGGAGGGGAGGGGGGGCACTGAGGGCGACGCAGAAGGGAAGGAGGCGTCGGAATACAAACAGAAGGAGGGCAGCTCGGGGGCGCCGGGCCGGGCAAGGGTCGAGTCCCCCGCGCCTTCCGCCGCCTTTGTTCCGCGCCCAGCGCCGTGCCCACGAGCGGGCGTCCGGCCGTGAGCGATGGGCCAGCGGAATCCGGGGCGGCGAAGGGCGAGCGGCCGCGACTCGCCAGGTGCGCGGGCGGCGGCGAGAAATCCCGAGGCATTCACTTCCCGCGCCGTCACTCTTACATTCCGATCGCGCTCAAGCAGCGGTTTACACATCCTACCCCACCCGCCCCCGCCTCTCCCCCTTACATCTTCTAGCCCTTCCCCTCCCCCGAGCAGCCTCCAGCCCCGCCCACTCCTCTTGCCAACCTGACGCTCAACCCAGGAGGCAAGAGGAAAGCCCCGACCGACGCCCTTCCACCCACCCACCCACCATCCCCTTCCCCCCCCCTCACCCTTTTCCACTCCAGCGCCCACGGATCTCCCAGCGCGGGCGTAGCAGCTTGCGGGCGAAAGCGAGAGCTTCACCAACACCCACGCTTCAGTTCGCGGCATCGCTCGGCACGCAAATGGCCCCGCGGTGCCCACGAGGAACAGCAGAAGCAGCAGCAGGCGGGGGATACGCACACTCGCCTGCCGAAGCCACAGGTCGCCGACGCCCGCGCGCCCGCCCCCCCCTCGCCCGCTCCCGAACGTGACGAGCGGGAAGGGGGTGAGGGAGAGGGGAGAGGGGAGAGGGGTGCGGGGGTTTACTTTCATGCGGCGGCGACGTGCAGCAACGGTACCCGGCCCCGGAGGTACCTCTGCCACGCCGCACTCTTCCACCCGCCTCTTACCCCGGGGTGAGTCGAGGGGCTGGAGAGGGGGGGAGGGGGAGGTAGATCGCCAATCCCCGGCATTCCCCCCGAATGGCATCACGTAAGGACCGTGCGCCCGCGAGCGATCTCAGAGACGCCGTAATTGCCCCGCACTCCTCGCAGGTGTTCCGCGCCGTCGGTCCCGTGAGCAGCGAGTCCCCGGGCGAGGGTCGAGCCGGCCGGATCGGTCCTCCCGGGGAATCGCCGCCTCGGAGAGGACGGCGGCGGCGCGCGGCAGCCAGACAGGTGCTTGGCACTCCGCCTCGGTGCGCCCCTACCTGCCCGCCCCTGGCCCTGGCACCTTTCTCGGCCGCAACGCCATCGCAGTTTTGCCATAGACGGTGCCCTACCTGGGCCGCGTGCCCCCCCCCCCCCCGCCCTCCCTCCCTCGGCCCCGCTGCCCCGACCGGCCCGGCGAGCGCCCCGCAGGAGCAGCTCTTCCTCCTCCATTCAGGGACTTCAGCGCGGCCGAAGCGGCAGGAAGCGCCGGGGGGAGGGGCGGGGGAGGTTAAATGCTCGGAGTGGGCGTTGGAGACGACACGAGGGGCGAGGAGGGGCGGGGTACGCGGGGGGGGGGGGTCTCGGCCGCCCCTGCTTCACCTTCTCTGTCGCTCGAGTCGCGGCCGAGTCTAGCCGCTCCGTGACGTCATCACCCAGCTGTTGCTAGTGATGACGTCAGCGCCAGAGATGACGTCACACGCAACAAAGCCTCGCAGCCCCGAGCGGCGCTTAGTATTTAAGACACGAGAAGCGCCGACGCCCCGCCCCCTCCTCGCCTTCCGCACGGCACCTCCCGCGCCGCAAAAAGCCACTCGCGACTCTGGACGAGCGACGCGTTTCGTAGCAACAAGGAAACATTTGCGCGGCGGCCGCTGCCACGAGGACGCCCTCGCGCGGCACGGCGGCGCCGGGAAACGTTTCCACGGCGCGCCGGAGGACACGCTCGCTGCCAACACGAACACAAACACACGCGCGACCACGGGCTTCTATTGGCAACGCCGTCGCTGCCGAAGCTCAAAACGAGACCTACGACTCCTACTACCTCCGCCTACTACTACTACTACCACTACTACTACAAACGGTGATTCAAGGGCTTTAAACCTCCTATCGTATACTAATACTGCTACTACGACCAAAACCATAACATAAAAAACACCTAAAAACATCACAAAACAAATACAATTCACACCCACAACAAACAAAACGCCATATAACCCCCACAACACCAAAAAAACAAATAAATAAATAAAACAAATAAAGAAATAACCAGACAAATATATAACCAAACAAAAAAAGTAAATAAACGAACCCCCCCCCCCG